TAACATAGGAGAAAAAAGCAATTCTTTGAAAATGTTTGACTAAACCTTTAGGAAAGTAGTTAGCAAAATCTTTCTATATATGGTTCGATGTGTTTTCATCTGCTCTTTTCAACGGTGAAAATCGTAGATCTCTATCTCGTTCCTATCAAAAGTTATTCAAAAAATGCCCACGGCCATTTAACTCTGAAATGGACATTAGTCTCATGTCGTTTATTATTTTAGATAAATGATTGAAAATTCTATTATTAATTATTCTCGATGGTTATTATTTCCATCATTTTTCTCTCCTTATTTAAGCAAGAATAATAATCTATTAATAGTAAAAAATTTCGATCGAAAAACATTTAATTATTTTTTATACACGTCGTCTTATAATCTTTAATGATAATAAAAAACACATGTCAAATCATATTCGTATAAATCTCGAATCGATATTAAAAACTTCATCTATAATTAATGATTTAATTAATTTAAATTTTATAAATCAATATAAATTCTTTTCACAAAAAATATCTATTGCACAACTAAATGATATGTTATTTTTTGCATATGAAAATACTATTAAACTTAATTTATTAACAAAACGTTTAATTGAATGTGTATTACCAATAAATAATAGTTTTCATTCAAATTTATTTATTGAACTTATTGATTTATTTGTTCTTCATCAACAAAAATATTATGATCAAGCAACAAAAATTCCTAATGAAATATTATAAAAATTTATTAATCATTTAGAATTAAATTCAACTCAAGATCAAATAAAAACTATTACATTATTTGCTCTTAGTCCTCTTTGTTCAGCAATGTGTCGTTTACAAATATCATTAAAAAATATAAATTTACTTGACTATATTACTCAATATTTAATTAATGATGAAAAGAAAAAAAAAATTTCAGCTGTTGATAAACAAAATTTTATTAAAATGTTAACATTATCAAATTATGGAAAAATCAATATAGCTTAATCATTAGCAAATCGATTTAATCAATCATTTGAAGAGCATATACAATTAAATTTATACTCATTTAGTTATAAAATTGTTCGTATGACTTGTCGGTTCATTCAATAGGTAGTGTTGTTCTTAATAACCATTTATCAATTTTTTCAGTACAATCGTTACTTTGAGATCAAGTTAATAATGGTGAATTATGATTATAAATTCCTGTTGCTTGTTGTTGTTTTTTTTTATTTCTAACTGAACAAAAACTTTTATCAGATATTTGACGTTCAATTTGACCAATTTGAATAGTTAATGGAGAGAGATCTGATGAAAATTCTTTTATAGTTGTTAATGGAGCAATGGATGAAGATTGATGATCTATTTTTGAATGATTAAGATGAGAAGATGAGGATGAAACAATAGTTTGTTTTTATCATCTGATGATAATGATGATGAACATGCTTCAAATATATTCATTAATTGTAGAATAACAGATGCTCAATCTTTAGAAATACTTGATGGTTCAATTAATGATGATGTTTCAGAATATGTATGCAATGTTGAATGTTGAATATCATCATCTTCAGGTATTACTCTATGTTTTTTCTTTAATTAGTATTGATAAATGATATTGATAACTTTATTATAACTCACTTAAATATGATTGAATACTTTGTTCCATTAATTGAAGAGCTTTTATTCCTGGTAAAAGTTCATATTCAAAGATTGATATGTATGGAAAAGCATCAGAATTACCATTGGTTTTACGAACACCATTGTACAAATTTACCATTTGCCATAAATATTTCATACAGAAATTCGAGACAGAAAAGAAAAAATAAATTATGTTGAAATGAAATAGTTTTGTAAAAATTTTCAAGTATAAGAGAGTACCAAATACATTGTCAAATTTATAAGCAAAACAATCAAAAATAGTAAAAGATTTTTTATTTATTGGCTTAATAATCAATCAAACATTCATAGGTCTTCTACATCATTTAACAAAACTTCCACGTTAATCAATAGTTTTCCCTCGTTACAAATAAAGAAGAAAAAAAAACAAATTCTTCCAAGATCAAGCAGATTTATAAAAACTTGTCTCTTGTTTTAAAAGTACCTTGTTCACTACAAATAGTATACATTTCTTCTAAACATAATAATATTTTTGTTGGATTATTAGAAATAATTCTAACAATACGTTCACATAATTGTGGACAACATTCTTGAGCTGGTTCAAGTAAAATAAAATCATAGGCAACACGCATTCATCGTGCTTGTGTATTAATTGTTGGTAAATATATTTGATCAATAAACATGCGAACTTCTTCATCATTTCCTAAAAGTTCATTAAGTAAATCAAATGCATAAACAAGAATACATTCAGGTGTTTGAAAATTAATTGTTGTTATCAATTCATCAGCTGAAGAAAAAAAAACAATAAGATGAGTTTAAGCAAAAAACAAGGAGAACATGAGTTTAATCAAAAAAAAATGACCAACATGGATATCAATAAAGGAATAAAAAAAACAGTGACAAGTTCGTTATTGATATTTTCTAAAAGATACAAACACATCATTAAATTGTTTAAAAACGAATGCCCTCACTTACAGTCATCTGTTGCCGGTCTTTTTAAAGATTGTCGTAAAATAGCTGCTTCTTGTTTAGCTTTTTCTGCTTGATTAGTAAGACGACCCAGTCGGACAAAAAATTTTGAAAAACGCGTTTAAACGCACAATCGGGAACCGCGATTGTAAGCCATTAACGCTCGTTAAAAAAACGCATGAAAACGCGTTTATTGACGTTTTTTGTAACTTCATGGGCGTTAAAACGGCGACAATTCCCGTTTTTGAGCGTTAAAAAGCACTATTATTCTAGAACTTAAAAATAATACGTTTTAACGCTCCAAAATTGGAGTTTTCGCCGTTTTAACGCTCATAAAGTTACAAAAAACGCCAACAAAC